CCCGCTGGCCTGGTCACCCCCAACTGCCCCCCCCCCGCCAGCTTGGTCACCCCACGCAGCCTGCTGTTCAGTCGTTTGGTCATCCCTCACTAACCCCCCTGCCGGCCTGGTTGTAGGCAGCCATCTTATGAGGGTGTGAGGGTTAATTTGCATATTACCTCTTTATTATATAGGATACCTTATAAAAGCAAGTATTACATATGCCTCAACAAATAACTGTTTCTGAAATACAGATCAGGTTAGGGAGAGAGGGCTTGTATAATCAGAGGATTTTCCACTTTAATGGCATGTTCCCCTAATACAGCTTAAAGCATGAATTGCAAAGCAATAATAATAATATTTTATGCAACTTTTCACGAAGACATCTAGTACATGAAGTCAACCGACACTTTTTGGTGACTATAACTTAATGTGTGGCAAACCTTGCCCTCTATTTACCTCCTTCCAATTCATCTCCAAATTGAAACTGCAGTAACCTTTCTAGAATACGAACTTGAGTGTTTCTCACAGCTGTGCGAATGTCCTGACCTTCAACTTGCTTCCAGTGGTTCCCTGTTGCCAATATGTTTAAGTCCAATCTCCTTAGCATGGCTTAACAAGCCCAGTATGATCTAGATCCAGCCTACCTAACTGCCCTCATCTCTTGCCATTCATCACCACTTCCGCCCCAACATACCCATGCTCTGGCCATACAAAATTCCTCTCATTCTCTGAAAAAAACATGTTTTCTTTCTTATCCAGACCCCCACAATACTATGCCCTCTGTCAAGATTACTCTCTCTCGCCCTAACTGGTTTGGCTCAGTGGATAGAGCATCAGCCTGTGGACTGAAGGGTCCCAGGTTCGATTCCAGTCAAGGGCATGTACCTTGGTTGCAGGCACATACCCAGTGGGGAGTGTGCAGGAGGCAGCTGATCGATGTCTCTCTCTCATCGATGTTTCTAACTCTCTATCCCTCTCCCTTCCTCTCTGTAAAAAAATCAATAAAAATATATTTTTTAAAAAAAGATTACTCTCTCTCTACTCCGCTCCATCCACCTCTCTGCCTTCCCCTAGCCAACCCCTAGTCATCCTTTAGGTCTCAAAGTAGATGTACCTTTCACCAGGAAGCCTTCCCTGACCTCTTAAGTCTGGGTTAGCTGCTCTTCCTCTGCCTTCCAAAAGCACCCTGTGATTCCCCTGTCATAACACATTTTACACTATATTATAATGGCTTGGTTACTTGTCTCTCTCCATTAAACTGTAAGTTCTATGCAGATAGACATCATTATTGACCACTATTGTATCAACTAGGGCCCACCACAATGCCTGGCACATAGTGAGTGCTCAATAAATTTGTATTGAATGTCTGGATATGTATTTTCTTTCATCTCTTCCACTTCAGTGGTACATATTATGCTACTTTGCCTTTGTCTCCTTTCAGTCCGTGATGCTTCTCTTACACAGCCAGCGGCGTTACATCTTTGAGTATGACCAATCGGATTGTCTGCTCTCGGTCACCATGCCTAGTATGGTGCGCCACAGCTTACAAACCATGCTTTCAGTGAGCTACTACCGGAATATCTACACCCCACCGGACAGTAGCACTTCTTTTATCCAAGACTATAGTCGAGATGGCCGACTGCTACAGACCCTGCATGTGGGGACAGGGCGAAGAGTTTTGTACAAGTACACCAAGCAAGCAAGGCTGTCTGAGATTCTCTATGATACCACTCAGGTCACATTAACATATGAAGAGTCTTCTGGAGTGATTAAGACAATACACCTGATGCACGATGGCTTCATTTGCACAATCAGATACAGGCAAACAGGTTTGTTATGAAAGGGTAGTGATGTGTATACCACATCATATTTTTAGTGAGATTTTTGCTGCCCACAGTATGAGATAGAAACAATAACCTATAGACATTGAATCCAACAAACTGTCATTTTACTTATCAAAGTATCTTCTATTAACAGTTCAAAATACATGCTACATGAAAGCTGATTCCTTAAAAACATGCAGTGTATTTCTCTTTTTCTCTCTCATTTCTCAAGAAAACTGAGATCTAAGTACCTAGTCTAACTGTGTACCCGTTCCTACTCACCACCAAGTCTTCCCAAAGATGCAGCTGCAAGATATGAATCTCACTGAAACTAGTTCATGCCCTGTATAACCTCTGTCTCAGCTGATGGCAAATTATCTTCAGAAGTCAGAATTTTGTATTATATTTCATCCTTGGAGTTTCTAAAGTGCCAAAATCCAGTTCCTTGAATACTGGACTTTGTCAAAACCCGACCCTCTGATTTTGTAACCCAGGTTAAATGAATTGAAAGTATTTTTGTCAGTGATTATAAAAAGAAAGCATGTTTATAATATCAGTTTCCTCTTCTCAGCCAGTGAATGGGTTATTGCTTCTATAGTTCCTCTAATTCAATTATTCTGTAATACACAGTATTTTAAATTTTTTTCAAGTCTGGTGACCACACTATGAGAATATATACAGTACTATGAAATGATATACCCAGACATTAGATATCAGAGGTTAATCTCATATTTTATTTTGAAAGTAAAAGCATTAATACTAAAGAAAATAACACTAGACCTTTCTGATTGCTCAACATTAAACACCTAGCTTTGTTCTCATTATATTGATTTTTATTTCTCCAGGACCTCTTATTGGACGCCAGATTTTCCGATTCAGTGAAGAAGGTCTTGTGAATGCTCGGTTTGACTACAGCTACAACAACTTCCGCGTCACCAGCATGCAAGCTGTGATAAATGAAACCCCTTTGCCCATAGACCTGTACCGATATGTTGATGTCTCTGGTAGAACAGAGCAGTTTGGAAAATTTAGTGTGATCAATTATGACTTAAATCAGGTCATAACTACTACAGTGATGAAGCACACCAAAATTTTCAGTGCCAATGGCCAAGTTATTGAAGTCCAATATGAAATCCTAAAGGCAATTGCCTACTGGATGACTATTCAATATGATAATATGGGCCGAATGGTAATATGTGATATAAGAGTAGGAGTAGATGCCAATATAACAAGATATTTCTATGAATACGATGCTGATGGACAACTTCAAACTGTTTCTGTAAATGATAAAACCCAGTGGCGTTATAGTTATGATCTGAATGGCAACATCAACCTTTTAAGCCATGGGAATAGTGCTCGTCTTACTCCTCTCCGATATGACCTCCGGGATCGCATCACCAGACTAGGAGAAATTCAGTATAAAATGGATGAAGATGGCTTTCTGAGGCAGAGGGGAAATGATATCTTTGAATATAATTCTAACGGTCTGCTGCAGAAAGCCTACAATAAGGCTTCTGGCTGGAGTGTGCAGTATTACTATGACGGGCTTGGACGACGTGTTGCCAGTAAGTCCAGCCTAGGACAGCACCTCCAGTTCTTCTATGCGGACCTTGCCAACCCCATAAGAGTTACTCATTTGTACAACCACACAAGCTCAGAGATTACATCCCTGTATTATGATCTCCAAGGTCACCTTATTGCCATGGAGCTAAGCAGTGGTGAAGAATATTATGTAGCCTGCGATAATACAGGCACCCCACTGGCTGTGTTCAGCAGTCGAGGTCAGGTGATAAAAGAGATATTGTACACGCCCTATGGAGATATCTATCATGACACTTACCCTGACTTTCAGGTCATCATTGGTTTTCATGGAGGACTCTATGATTTCCTTACTAAATTAGTGCACCTGGGGCAAAGGGATTATGATGTTGTTGCTGGTAGATGGACGACGCCTAATCATCACATATGGAAACAGTTGAACCTCCTTCCTAAACCATTCAACCTCTACTCTTTTGAAAATAACTACCCGGTTGGCAAAATTCAAGATGTTGCAAAGTATACCACAGGTATTTAAACAGTGTAAAACTTTACACTAGAGTAAAGCGATAACTCAGTGTGTTTATCACATAATCTCAATGCCTTTGTAAATATGCTTCCTCTTCCTGCCAGTTAGCCCACAAGTTATTGTGCAGTCACTCTCTTCCTTAGTCTTCTAGAGTGAGAAAAACTATTCATATATATGATGCTTTTGCATTGAAGTGTGTCTTTACTTCCCTTGTAAGCTTTCTGTTTGTAGTTTTCATGCTTAAAAACTTACACAAATAATTTTATAAAAGAAAAATTCAAGATCTGTTGCATCAAATAAATCTAAAATCACAGTCTGTGTGGCCTTAATACCACTACCATGTTAAGAATTTCAGTACATGCCCTAGCTGGTTTGACTCAGTGGATAGAGCATCGGCCTGCAGACTGAAGGGTCCCAAGTTCAATTCTGGCCAAGGGTACATGCCTGGTTTGTGGGCTCAATCCCCATTGGGGGGCATGCAAGAGGCAGCTGATCAATGATTCTCTCATTACTGATGTTTCTATATCTCTCTATCCCTCTCCCTTCCTCTCTGAAATCAATAAAAATATATTTTAAAAAAGAATTTTAGTACAAACAAAAAGGACCTCTCCATGTAGCTCGGTTGGTTAGAGCATTGTCCTGATACACCAAGGTTTCAGGCATGATCCCTGTTCAGGGCACATATAAGAATCAACTAATGAATGCATTAATAAGCAGAACAACAAATATCTCTCTCTCTCTTTCTCTCTCTCTCTCTCTCTCTCTCTCTCTCTCTCTCTCTCTCTCCCTATTTAAGAAAAAGAAATAAATTTTTAAAAATAAAAACAAGAATTTCCGTGCAGTGAAATGAGCCTATCTGTGATTATCCATGAATCAAAAGGTTTCCAAGTAGAGGACCGTATGTTTTAGAGTGAGTGATATAAGGGGGAGTTTTATTCCTAAGTTCCCATTGACCAAACATATTGAAGGCAGGAGAAGCATCTTTAAAGCTTTCCACAAAGGTTATAAACTAAGGCCTTTAAAATTTTTTCCCTTTAATTTTGTGTCTCATAGACATTGGCAGTTGGTTGGAGCTATTTGGTTTCCAGCTACACAATGTACTACCTGGATTTCCCAAACCAGAGTTAGAAAATTTGGAATTAACTTATGAGCTTCTACAGCTTCAGACAAAAACTCAAGAGTGGGATCCTGGAAAGGTTAGTATGTTTTACCATCTCTACTTAACTGAAAAAAAAAAAAAAAACAGGAGAGCATCCAACACCATGAAATGGTATTAACATATATTTGGTTACTTATTTTTGAGTTGTCTTTAATATTCACTAAAATATCATGATTAAGGACAAAGTAGAACAAAAGCTTTAATGGGGAAAGAATCAGGGGATTAGAGCTCTTGGAAAAGAAAAGACTAACATGTGACTTGATGACTGGTGGGGTAGACAAGCACAGGAAAGAGGAACTGAACTTATAAAATTCTGAAATGGGCTACTAAGGTCAATTATAGAGTCTATATAAAGAAAATTGTTAATGAAAAGACACGAAAACATCAGATTTCCAACTGCAAAATAATCTAGGGCAAAGTGCATGAAGAGCATGGGAATAACAGAATTAAATTATTTTGATAAAGAAAAAAATATATATAAGCAGTGAAACAAAAATAATATTACAGTGATAGTCTCTGGAAAAATATAAATACCAAAACCTTCATGTTTTAGCAGATGATTTTGTCAGGAGTATGAGGTGCAAATGAGAACAAGAAGGAACTTTTTCTTTTAATTGAAAAAATAAGAATTTCTGTGTTAGCAAAAAAAAATGGCTTTAACAACATAAAACTGAAATGTGTGTGGGAGAGCTGGAAATGTAAGTGTAAAAAAAATATAAGGGAAAAGAAATTTGAAATAAGTCCTATAGACTTTTCCTTTTTTGTAAATACATATAATATGTAAATGCTTTTTGTAATTAAAAGTCCTAAAGAAGTTTAGCAAAATGTTGAAAATTGCTGAAGCTTTCTATTGGATACTTGAAGGTTCATTATTCTGTTCTCTGTTTCTCCATATGTTTGCAAATTTTCATAATAAAAAGGGTTTTTATTTTAAGTTCACGTAAAAAGGTCAGCAAACTTCTTGCTGGTTTGCTGTTGTTATTTATAAGGTCATAACTGCTTGAAAGCAAGAATGATGCCGTATGCATCTCTTTATATCTCCCTGTGCCTAACATATTACTCTACACACAGTCATAACAGCTAGTTGGTTTTAATTAAATTGGCAAACATGAAATGTCTTTGTTTGGGGGGAGCTGGACCCACTTAATTTGAAGTGCCTTCTAGCTCTCAATTTCTGTGCTATCAAGTTTGAACATATTTCCTTATGTTTAACTCACCAAGATACCAAGAAATGCATGCCAAGTAATCATGTCACCTGTTAGTCTTTTCTTTCCAAATCTCTGATGAAGAGATTCCAAATTTGGCTTGTTTTTAAATCACAAACCAGCAAATTGCAAGCCTTTGCTTTCCACAGTCAGCAACCGTATGGCAGGTGTTTAATCCTGTGCCACATTTGCACTGTGCCTTTCTTCTTTCCTAGACTATCTTGGGTATTCAGTGTGAGCTCCAGAAACAGCTCAGGAATTTCATTTCCTTGGACCAACTTCCCATGACTCCCCGATACAATGATGGACGATGCCTTGAAGGAGGGAAGCAACCAAGGTTCGCCTCTGTTCCTTCTGTTTTTGGAAAAGGTATAAAATTCGCCATCAAGGATGGCATAGTGACAGCCGATATTATAGGAGTAGCCAATGAAGATAGCAGGCGGCTTGCTGCCATTCTCAATAATGCTCATTACCTGGAAAACCTACATTTTACCATTGATGGGAGGGACACTCACTACTTCATTAAGCTTGGCTCTCTGGAGGAAGACCTGGTGCTCATCGGTAACACTGGGGGGAGGCGGATTCTAGAGAATGGTGTCAATGTCACTGTGTCCCAGATGACGTCTGTGTTGAATGGGAGGACTAGACGGTTTGCAGATATCCAGCTCCAGCACGGGGCTCTGTGCTTCAACATCCGGTATGGGACAACGGTCGAAGAGGAAAAGAATCATGTGTTGGAGATTGCCAGACAGCGCGCTGTGGCCCAGGCCTGGACTAAGGAACAAAGAAGGTTGCAAGAAGGGGAAGAGGGTATTCGGGCATGGACAGAGGGGGAAAAGCAGCAGCTTTTGAGCACCGGGAGGGTACAAGGTTATGATGGGTATTTTGTTTTGTCTGTTGAGCAGTATTTAGAACTCTCTGACAGTGCCAACAATATTCACTTTATGAGACAGAGTGAAATAGGCAGGAGGTAACAAAAAAAATCTCTGCCTTTGCGTCACCAAAGACTGCCTGTTTTTAAAACATAAAACGGTTTATTGTATTGGTTTTCTAGATCAGAACTCTGTATATGTAAATATGGAGGGAAAACATATCCAACTGCCTTTCAATGTGACGGAAGATGGTATTTTAATATTGTTTAAACTCTTTAAGAAACGACAGATTTTTAGTTCTCGTGTGGCAGTATTCAAAATAACACAAGTAGAACTGAAACAGCTAAAAACAAAAGGTTTTCAGAAAGCACCACTTTAAATTTGTCGAGCCATATATATATATATATATATATATATATATATATATATATATATTCAAATATACAGAAAGATCCCAAGGTTCTATATCTCTATTGCGACATGAAGTTTCATATTTAACTGTTGGCAGAAAAAGTGGTGCAATAAGTATCTAAACCTTGCATTTCGCAAGAATGCCAGCGCTTTCACATTTTCCAGATCTGCTATAGGACACTTCAAAGAAGTGTGAAATGTCCTCAGCCACGATCTCCTAGAGTCGAGAACCATTTGCCCTTCCTCCCTGATTATTCCTTCCTGCTTGTTAAAGTAAATGCCATGTTGTTGTGCCGTGTTTTGGCGTGTGGTGGCTGCGTTCTGTCTACCATGCTTCCCTATGGGTGTGGTACCCAGACTGAATTGCCACAATTTGCTTGTGTGCGCGTGATACCGAGGCAGCTGGCCAATGTAACTTCTCCCATACCACCTGTTTTGACTAAATTTTGTTTTACTAAATTGTCCAGCTGTATTGGCGTCATGTAAGCATAGCTTTTATTAACCTGGGTAGCAATTTCTCATTTATATATAGCGTGTGTTTTGGTCATAGTTTCACGTTAGTGATTCAGTATTTATACACTAATCCAATGGTTTTGTGCACACGAAAGGTGACTTACTACAAAGTGTGATTCTGGTACAAAAAAAAAAGAGAGGCTTTAGCAGGCATATATGCCTGGGATGCCAATAAATTACATTCACTACTACTGCAGAAATTCATAAGAGCCAAAACCTTTAAAAACTAGACTGAATACTAAGCTTGAAATGAAAGTATCAAAGGGGAGACCAAGCTAAACATCACAGTAGTTGCTCTACATTGTTTCAGCTCAGTTAGCTTTATTTTTTAAATGTACCATTCTGTATTGAACATCTCCCAACCATAGTCAGGAAATTTAATTAAGTGTACCCTTTCCAACCTAAAACATTTCAACTAATTATAGAGACGGACTATTTTTTACTAAAATAATGTATATGGTTAGTTATTTTAGTTCTCTGTCTTTGCCCATTAAATTGATTTAATCATATCTCCTGCCTAGGAAAATTACTATTTTCCAGGAAGGAAATGTGATTTTCTTCTGCCATCATTTAAAAGTTGGGAAAAGATCAGAATTAGTGTTAATGTCAGCTGCAGTTTCTCAATCTCTGAGAATCCTGTAGTAAAAGAAGCCTCTTGGTGAGCTGGGAGATTTGTGCCCAGTGACAAAGAGATAGTTTGTAAAATGCTGTGTAATTGGAAGTTACCACGAATGAAAATGCGTGACAGCATGATGTGGCCTGTAGAAAATCCCCCTGAGCCAGCTTCAGCACTTTCATCCCAAGTCTGAACACTTGCTATGTCAAAGGAGAATTTACGATGGGATGTTACAGTATGGATTCTTTCCAGCTACTACCTAAATGCAGTGTGGGGGTCATTGCCTTGCTTTGTGACGACAGTGTCTTTGAAAATATGCAAAGTCAGAATCCAGGCTCAGGCCAAGGTTTTTAAAGAGTCTGGCTCCTTACTACACAAAGTAGAGTGAGGGAAAAACAAGACCCACAGATTATAGGGGGGGGGGGGTTCTAAACATTTCATTTTCAAAACCTTCAGGTTGGCATTACCACATTCTTACACATGTATTGAAAGACAGTGAGAGAGGGAAAAGATTCATGATTAACTCATCTCTCTTTTGAATTGGAAGCACACCAACTCAAGAGATTACTAATCCAGACTACAATCATATTATTGGTTTTTATCCCTGAATCAGGAGTGTGTTACTGGTACAGAATTTATTCAGGATGGGATTCTAAAATGACTTACAAACTTGTTGAAAATTTGAATACCTCCACACCAGCCTAAAAATTGACCTTAAGTTCCTAGAATCTCTGATGTTCTTTTAAATTAATGGAAAAATAATTTGTGAACTGTATATAGAGAGTGCATTCATAAGTGTGATGATGTATTTTATCACTAATCCAAGATGTCGATATTAGAGTCTATTTTGCTTATATTTTAAGTGTTATAATTTTTGCAATTCACTGATGGTGTATCATTTTCAAACTGCTTTAAATATTCATTAGAAACAAATATTTGAAGATTTTACTTAATAGTAATTACCTTGAACTGTGCATTTCTAGTTTGTAATATATATTTATTTAGTTTGTGCCTTTAGTTTCTGAAAGTTATATTTGTAATATATTCAGAAAATGCACTTTTTATCACTTACAGCTGTGGTTTTCATACTGCCTTGAACTATTACTGTTCTCTTTACCACTTCCAAAGTTTTTTGGAGGAAAGAGAAAAACCCCAAAGGTTAGAACTAATGAGTAGTAAATATAAGAGAAACATTTTGGCATTTCTTATTAAGAATGTAGAGATATTGAGTACATTGCTTCCTATTTGGCTGAATACAAAGAATGCCTTCATTGACTTGTAGTTCTGAAGTTTAAATTAATGACAGGACAATTCATTTGCATTTCCTGATGAAAGTAAAAGCATTTTAAAGAGAAATAGTTGCCCTAACCGGTTTGGCTCAATGGACAGAGCATCGACCTGCGGACTCAAAGGTCCCAGGTTCGATTCCGGTCAAGGGCATGTACCTTGGTTGCAGGCACATACCCAGTAGGGAGTGTGCAGGAGGCAGCTGATCGATGTTTCTCTCTCATCGATGTTTCTAACTCTCTGTTCCTCTCTGTAAGAAATCAATAAAATATATTTTAAAAAAAGAGAAATAGTTGATGTTTCACACCCAACATACAGGCAGCTGACACTAAACAGCCACACCCCATTTAATCAGTTAGAGTGAGAGCACAGTAGTTGAGCCCTCCTCTGAAGAACATTCTGGGCTGGAGGCCGGGAACACTCTGGTTGTATTCCCTGTGTTTTATCCTAGTTAGGCCCATTTTATTTGTGCTTTTTTGTTATTATCTTGGTTTGTTTTTACTTTTGCACTATAGTCTAGAGATCCAAATGAGCTGAAAAGTTCACAGTTTAACAGACATTTAAATACTTTATTTTTAGTTGTCATTCTAATCATTATTGATTAGAAGCATGACTCCTGAAAGAGAGGGAAATAAAGCCCAAAATTTAGCAAAATACTCACTATATAAATAGGCATATGTTTTATTTTTAACCCAGCAAAATAATGTATAAAATAAGCGTGTCCTTCACTGTCAATTTATCTAGAAGATCTATAATATATAGACTATATAAATATATATATATATAATATATGCAACATAGCCAAATGAATGAAAACTTAATAATGTATAATTTGGAACTCATATGCTAACTACATAGAGAGGTCTAAAAGTAAATTATAATTTTCACAAGATTTTTCTTTTTCATCACTGTTGGCACAGTTTCAAGCATTCTACCATGTTATTTCTACATTTTTCTTCTTTCTTTTCTTTCCGTTTAAAATATATATATATTTTTAACCAGACCAGGCCCCACTATAATACCGTAACCTAAGAGAGTCAGGGCAAAGTTTTTGCATTTATGAAGATATGTTTCTGTAAGAACAATTGTAGTGGCGTTCAGTGGTAATGGAAGCAAAAGTACAGTAATCAAGTATTGAAAGAAACTTGGAGAGACTGGGGTGTATTATAGCTTATGGAAAACAGAAGGCTACAGACTGGATGCGACATTCTTGTTTTCTTGGAGAAACTCACATACACATAGCCGACCTGACTAGTACTAGATTCAGACTGCTCTTCCACAGCCTTCTGTAATGTTGTTTATTCTGAAAAAGAAAAAAAAAAGGAAAAAAAAGAAAAACAAAACAAAAAAACGGAAAACAACAAACAGCAACAAAAAAGAATTCAACCACAAAATAGTGACTGTTATGTCAGTGTGTCCTTCATGTGAAAGCTATTAAGGACCAAATATACTACTGTGTGTAAGAAGAAATTACTTCCTAAACAGTAAGTGAAAATAGTTAGAGTTAAACTTGCTGTGGATTTTGTCTTGGCGGTTGTCATCTTACATTATTTGTCAAAGGAAATGTGTTTGGCAGTTAAAAATCTTTCCTTAGATTTAGTGGTGGACTTTAACCTCTTAAATAAATGTTAGTATATCAGATTGTGTCCTTGAAAAATATTTTACTTGTATGAATCATGACAATGTCTAGATCTTTACTATTCTTCTGGCAAAAGCATCAGTAAGAGAAAAGGTGAAAAAGAGAAGTATAGCCTTTATGTCAGAAAAATATTCTTTTTAGCTGCTTACTTTCTCATGAGAAGTAAAGATGTTTACAGTGTATGCCAAGATTTTCAGTTTCTATATAACAACAGTTAGAGGTTCTAATCATACTGAAAATTGTGTTATAATGGCCTGAGCCATGTTGCTAGGAAACAATAGGTTCCAATTTTGTATTCCTGCTCTCACTCCTGTGCTGAAAAGTGACTGGATACTGTACAGGTTCATGTTCTCTGGCTGCAGTTAAATGGTCTTTTGCATTTTGCTCTGGTTTTCAGGCCAGAAGCATGCATTTTTCTACAAGAGCATCACAACAACATGCTGTAAATATTTAAAGTTCAACATTATGTGTCGATATTTGAAAGAAAAAAGTACTTTGAATATTTCGTTTTTAAAAAATAAAATAGCAAATGAACGCTGCGTCCCATTTTATTCATGCGCCAAATGACCTCTAGTCAGTCCAGTCACCTGAGGTGAAAAGGGGCTCCCCTATCAGGAAACAAACCTGTGCTTTATTGAAAATATAGGCGCAAAAATAAAAAAAGGCACTAATCCTAAGCAGACATCTCTTCATTTTATTTTTCATACAAATAGGATATCTGGCACAAATGACCATTTAAGAAAAAAATTTTTTTAAAAGAATAGTAGCTATTGAAATTTTAAATGCCTCTAGGCTATGACTTATAAAAATGTTTCTCTCCTGTTGATGCGTTTCTGGGCAATAGAAAGAATATCAAGAATTGTAAGATGGGGCTGGGGGAGAGTTAGGAGAGCAGGGTACTCACATGCATTGGTAAAGAAATAAATGGCAGGGAGGGCAATCAGGAAAGACTCAAAAACAATAGCTCTTCTGAGTCCCTAGGTCCTGGGCAATTACAATGGCCATTTGGCCCTGACTTTTTCACAGGAAGACATTTACTAGTGACACAGGGAAAGCTGGCCAACAGATCTTCCCAAATGCAACTTGATAATAATGGGGTGCTGTAGTCCAAACAGTCTATTCCTGAAACTGGCTTGGAATCCTGGAATTTACAGCACTTTCTAAAATGCCCCACTGCCTTTCATTCACAGATATATTCACAGATACAGTGAAAAGATTCGTGAAGCAAAAGACAATCCCGATTATCTCAGCACAGCCCATCAGCAAAATGCAGCACGGGGTGCTGGTGGGGGTAGATATTAGTATCAGCTGGAGATTTTTTTTTCAAAATATGCATCCCACCCTCAGAGTACAAAAAGAAAGAGGCAAGCACTTCTACACTGAGAGAATTATTAGAGATTTAAGAGATTTCTCCATATTCTCCATTCACTCTCACTTTGAGAGATCTTCGAATATATATATTCATTTTAAAAGTCAAATGGCCTAATGATGAAAATTCAGCCTTTTACTACAAGTTTGGACAATGATCCCAAATTATGAAAGTGTCTAAACTGGGTCGTTTAACTTCACCCCTAGCTGCAAACCTGCAAACTGCGAAATAATGGTGTCCCATTTACTGCAAGGGCAAACATAGGCAACAAAATTGCATTTATAGTCCACTAACAGAAAGATTAGGCATCTTGTAACCTTGAAATGCCCAAGGGCAAATGTGGGTTTTATTATTAATAGACTCTGGAGTCTGAACTCAATAAAATGAATCTAATAAAACACAAGTTGATGTCTACACATTTTAAAGCTTTCTCTCACACTTTAAATTCTCTATGCATTCTACCACAAATATCTTAAATTCAGCCCACTATTTATACCAGAACACTTAATTAGAGGCATTCTCTGTAGACCCACTCTACCTATGGGCCACTACCACCAAGGTTCCCTGCCTATAACAGCCAAACTGACAATTACCTAAGCTGGTCTCCCCGCTGACCTTATCTCTTAAGAAGAAATTTCAGGGGAAATGAATGAGCATTTGATCAACTGTCATGTTCCTTGTATGCTTGCTGACACACTTTTTCTTTTTCTGAAGAGAGGTGTACACTTGGAAATATATGGCATTTTCTATCTTGACTCAGCATCTTAAAGGTATATGTTAGCATGGCAATCATTTAGATTTGGCAAGGATATGACCTTTCTATAAAGGTGCAAGTTATTACGTGCCGAGAAATAGCATGGATGCTCATGCTGGGAAAGAAAAAGTGAAAAGAACTTGATGAATAAAAGGCCAGCAAAAGAAGGCAGTGGGTAAGCACATGAACTGGAAGGTTTGACAGTAGCAACATCAGGAAAGCACTTACCTTTTTCAGGGAATCTGTCCAATAAGATAAGATTACCTCATCAATGTTTTATTTAATAAATGAATAGCACCTATCTCAGAATATTTAAGACAAATTAGGTAAATAAAGCTTTCAAATATTTTATTAAAATATGGAAGACCATTAATGATTTAAAAAAGCTTTACCAAAAAGGGCTCTGATAAACAGGCAAACATAATTCATATAGTTAGGATTATTCCAAAATGAACAGATTATAGTAAAACAGTTACACCTATTAAAAATTAAACCCAAGCTACAAATAATTAAAAAGTATCTAAGCACATGCATTTTATTTTGAAAGTCAGCTTTTTAAATTCCTTTACAAGTTAAAAGTGATGCTTTTACTTCTAGAAATGGTTAACAGCCCAGAATACATTATTGCACTTCCATAGCATCCATGGAAAATGTTCAGAAATCAGATCTTGCCAGCACGTGGAGAGTAGCTCTGTCTCTTGGCAGTTCACTGATTATTAACCAAGCTCACAACCACCCACATACAACCCAGAATTCCAATTTATTAGTTTACAATGGAACTTAGCCTTTTCCTCTGAACCATGGACCAGAGCATCTGTGTTGACTCATTTTGCCTCTAAAGACAGATGTACCTACACATCGGTGATCTCACTTACCATGGACATATCACCTTTTCTTGTTTTTTTTTTGTCATTTTATTGTGACTTTGGTCTTTTATTGTTACTGTTTCTTGTCCAACTAACAGTGAGCTGCCTGAGTGCAGGGACCAGGTGAAAGTTTCCTTCTCTACCCCAGTGCCAATTATGTTCATTGAGTGAATGAATTCTCTGAGCCCTGGAGCAACTTGACGTGTAATCAAATCACAAGAGTCATGGAAACATAAAATGTGAGAAGAAAATACAAATCCCTATCATTGTGTAAAATCTTGGCTGTCACTTAGGTTGCAATCACTTGGAAAGGTTCAAAGTTAACGCAACCATAAGCTCTCCAATGGTCTGTAGGGCCACCTAATAGAGAGGCTGCTCGGAAATGAGCTCCGCTTGAGCCACCACTGAGGATCCACAGCTGCTGAAGCTTCCCCTTCAAAATGAGGTTTTACTTGGAGTGGCAACAATTGGGGCAGACAGAGGTAAATGAAAAGCAGTCAAGTCCACTTCATCAGATTCGCAATACAATCTCCACTCCTGTAGCATCAACTGTAATAAACATTTAGAGCATATTTTAAATTATGGGATTTTTAAACTCCAGCTTAGTCTGTGGGTTTTACTCTCCAATATCCGAACACTAGGCAAGAAGGTGGCTTTCATATTTTAACAGAAATTCTTCACTCTTTATCAAGCACTTGTTTTAGTCCACAGGGGACAGCTTCATGACTCCCAAAAGAGCCTACAACACCATAGCTAGTGGAGAGCAGAATGCATAAAGCAGAACCACACACGACAAAGATGAGGGCCACGAACCAGCTGCCTGCCGGATAATTAAGCAAGACATTTAAAAATCAGTAACTATCAAATAATATTTCACTAGAAATGGTGCTTTGGAGAAAAACCAAGGATTGTTTTTATTTATATATGGCAAAAATTAACATTAATCTTTTATAAAGTATCATGTTTTAAATCGTTTCCCATTCGTAAATATAATAACTGGAAATAACCAGTGGAATTACTTTTTCCCAATCCTCATTTTAAAGCTCCTCATTATCTGTCAAGTCCATTTCAGCTTTAACATCATGTTAGATGCTTCCATTACAGGACTATAATGGTTTTAGAAATGCATTTGTAGCTCACTGAACGGTATTATCTACAATACTTAACATATATTTAAATTATTGAAAATAAAGTAGAAGGTCTTTTATTTTTCTTCATGGTGCTTTCAGGAAGACATCAGGATCTTCTCTTCTCCCTAAAGAAAAATAATAACAAAAATCAAGAAAGATAAACTTGCAAGCTATTAAGATTACTGGTTACCTCGAACTTATAATCATAAAATTTCCAACTGTATAAAGCTCACAGAGGTACAACCCAATGATATAGCTCAAGGAACTAATGCTTAAAACTGAGTTATAAATTATGGAATGCTGAGCAGAAAAGAACAATTAGGCAATTTCTAAATTGGAGTTCTATTTCCATGTCTATGATAAAAGTCAACTATTCATTAATTTAATTTACCACTTGAGTCTAATTGTCATTTTATGCTTGAGCCCGGGTCCCTGTCAAAAAAGGGATATAACAACTCATTTTCTTTTATCATAAATATTTATTGTTTCAATCAGGCATACCTTCTTACTCCAAACAAATGATTAACCCCTTTCAATGGATGAGTAAACAATTACATATCTGATGGCTGCAGATGTTGGCTAGTATTTGGTCATTAGCCTGACACGCACACTAAAATAGCTTTGCTCAGGAGATGTAACAATTTGTGCCTGTGGAATAATAAAGTCTACTAATTTTATTTCCTTTGCCACAGTAAAATTTCATTAATTCAGGCACCACAAATTCAGAAATCAGGATCACGTGGGCCAGGCTACCATCAACTTTTCCCTCCTGAAGGGAAAATCTAGTTTACTAAGCAAAGGCAAAGGACACCCAGGTGTTCTCTGAGTTGTCCCCTCTTGCACATTATTTGTGTCTGAATTAGTGAACTGAAATGATACTTATGTATTGACAAAAGAGAATGTGGAGAATAAGATAGAATGAGACATCAAATGTTGTGGGCTCATAGAATTTTTTACATTTTTGCAGGGATTTTTACTATAAAATTTCTTTTTTATTTTTCAAGTACAGTTTACATTCAATATTATTTTGTGTTAGTTTCATTAAATTTTATAGAACATCATATTGAAATCAAAGCATGGGAATAGTCCCCTCCCCTTTCACTTGATTTGCTGGCTACATCTACTTTCTTATTGCATTTTTCTTACAGAACTTCCTATAACTACATGTTTATGAATAGATTGGCTCATAATCTCAAGCTTCCAAACCCCAACAAAAATTAAAAGTAGGGTGGGAGTCTGGGAGAAAAAAAGAGAAGGAGATTAAGAAGTACAAACTTCCACTTATAAAATAAACTAGAGGCCCAATGTACAAAAATTCATGCAAGAGTAGGCCTTTCTTCCCCTGGCTGCTGGCACCGGCTTCCCTCTCGCACCCAGGACCTGGGCTGGCTTCCCTCCGGCCACCTGCAGGCACCTGGGACCCCAGCTGGCTTCCCCTGGGCCGCCCACAGGCACCCAGCACCCGGGCTGGCTTCCCTCCAGCCCTGGCTTCATCAGAAAGGAGATCCGGAATGACTTCCAGTCTAATTAGCATATTACCCTTTTATTATTATAGACTAGAGGCCCGGTGCACAAAATTCGTGCATGGGAGGGTCCCTCAGCCTGACCTCCACCCTTTCCAATCCGGGACCCCTTGGGGGATGTCTAACTGCCAGTTTAGGCCTGATCATGCAGGGATCCAGCCTAAACCAGCAATCAGGCCTAAACCGGCAGTCAGACATCCCTCTCGCAATCTGGGACCACTGGCTCCTAACCGCTCACCTGCCTGCCTACCTGATTGGCCTTAACTGCCTCTGCCTGCTGGCCTGATTGCCCCTACCTGCCCTCCTCTGCCAGCCTGATCACCCTTAACTGCCTCTGCCTCGGCCCCCGCCACCGTGGCTTTGTCCGGAAGATGTCCAGTCTAATTAGCATATTATTCTTTTATTTGTATAGACTAGAGGGCCGGTGCATGAAAATTCATGCACTGGAGGGGGTCCCTCAGCCCAGCCTGCCCCATCTCATAGTCCGGGAGCCCTCAGGGGTGGGAGGCGACCCGGCGATCAGGGGAAGGCAACGCCCCCATCACACCTCTGCTGCTGCCACTATCGGCAGTGCAAGCTTCAGCCAGCCCTGGTTACCTGAGCCTCAGGCGGCCCTGGGCAGCTGGGCAGCCGCCATCCGAGGCTTGCCCGTGCCTCGGGCCAGCCCTAGGTGGCTGGGGGGCTGAGGGGGCTGGGGGACTGGGCGCCGCCATCTTGTGGCTGTGGGCGCCGCCATCTTTGAGGGCAGGACAGTCAATTAGCATATTCCCTCCTTATTGGCTGTGGTTGCTGCCATCTTTGAGGGTGGGGCAGTCAATTAGCATATTCCCTCCTTATTGGCTGTGGTTGCTGCCATCTTTGAGGGTGGGGCAGTCAATTACCATATTCTCTCCTTATTGGCTGTGGGTGGCACCATCTTTGCGATGGCATGAGGGTCAATTAGCATATTCCCTCTTTATTAGATAGGATTATGGGGATGTAAAGCACAGCATAGGGAATACAGTCAAAAATCCTATAAAATAAAACCCTAATATGCAAATCAACTGAATAGCGGAACGACCAGCAGAACAACTGGTCGCTATGATGCACACTGACCACCAGGGGGCCAACACTCAACCAGTTGGGGGCAGCTCCTGCATTGAGTATCTGCCCCCCAAGAGGGAGGCAACTGGCGGTAGTGATCAGGGGGGCAGGGCCAGCCAGCAGGCAGCGCCAGGCCACCAGCCAAGGCAGGTGCCAGCAGGAGCCCCCCAATCATCCCGCCCACCGGTTGCCCCGCAGATGGCCCTGATCACCAGCCAGGCCTAGGGACCCTACCCTATATATTGGGAACAGTCTCTTAGATTTAAAAATCAAAATCTGGCAAGGCTACTCTAACACTTAAAAAACAGGATGATGCAGTGATGACATGCATGGACTCTGGCTTGCACATTTTGTGGTCAGCCCTAATTCTGACACAACTGTGTGACAAAGCCAATTACTTAACTTCTCTCTGCTTCAGTTTTTCTACCCATAAGATGGGGAAAATGGTATTACTGCCTCAGAAGGATCTACTACTGTTATGTACTACTTTTATAATCAGGGCAAAAAAATGTAGCTGCCCATACAACAGTAAGATGCCTTTCCCCTGTATGAAAAGTATGGTCACTGGTGCATGCAGCATCCCGGATTGTGAGAGGAATGTCCGACTGCCGGTTTAGGCCCGACATCCCCTGAGGGGTGCCGGATTGCGAGAGGACACAGGCCAGACTGAGGGACCCCAGCCCCCATGCACAAATTTTGTGCACCGGGCCTCTAGTATCATAATAACTATGTATGATGTCAGATGGGTATTAGATTTATTGTGGTGATCACTTCATAAGTTAATAAATGTTGCATCACTATGTCATACACCTGAAACTAATATGATAATGTATGTCAACTGTAATTTAAATAAAAATTTGGTACTGGCCAGTTTGACTCAATGGATAGAGTGTCAGCCTGTGGGCTGAAGGCTCCCTGATTTGATTCTGGTCAAGAACCCATGCCTGGGTTGTGGGCTCAATCCCCAGTAGGGGGCATACAGGAGGCAGCCAATCAATGATTCTTATCATTGATGTTTCTATCTATCTCTCCCTCTCCCTTCCTCTCTGAAATAAAAATATATTTTTAAAAATAATAATAATAAAATAAAATTTTGAAAAATTAACAGTAAACCATACCTGTAGTACCTTGTGTACTTCTAGCTGAGGACTTCTCAACTGGATACTGCAGAGGTATTACAATTCCTTGATCTGGCTTCTGAAATGCTGAAATGAGATTTTTTATTTTCCGGAAAAATCTTTTATGAACCCCAGGTGCTGTCTGGAAAATAAAAGGTCAAGAAAATTATTCAACTACCTCATAATGATATGAAAAGCCCTACAAAATGTGTGAGGGGTGCTTAGAGAGGTAACATTTGTGTAACTTGTTCAAATATTTGAAAACATAAGGAAGAAGAGAAAAACAACATCCCAGAAGAGCTTACTTTGGTTGGCTGAATTTCCCTGCAAGAGGAGCTAATGAGCTGTCATTTCAGTTCTCCCAGGGGTGGTATTAGTTTGTACAAGCTCTTGCTCATTGCCTTGCCCTTTCTGCCTGCTACCCATCATACATCCCGAACCTCTAAGGGTATACAGGCCATTACCCACAATGAATTCACCAACTTAGAAGATGCAGTTAAACACAGAAAAAACTCAGATCCTACAGGTCATTAATAAAAAGCCTGAAGAATGAAACAAAAACAAAACAAAACCACCACCACGTATCCTCCCTGTCATCATCCCACAATATAAAATGCTACACAGGAAATTAAAATTGACTGTAATGATACACACAATGCATGGCTAAGTTAGTCCTTATATGCTCACCTCACAATATGTCCTGCCTCATCCTTCACATTAAATTTTTTCCTCCTTGGGAAATTTCCGTTTCCTCCCCCAAATTACTCTCTCCATCAACACTTCACTGTGACAAAGTTTTATCTATGACACGAAAATGAAAGTCTATATAAGGTCACCATTATTTATTTGTTTGTTTGTTTCTGAAGACATTATTTGCAAGTGACTATTAAAATGTATTCCTTTCCTGACATCAGTTCTCTTGCAAAAACACAGCTTGAAATCAATAACAATTTCCTGCAAAGGCTTATAAGCCAAGCTTTAGGCATCATCTCAAAACTGTCATTGGACATGAAATAAAATAGTATTGCTATAAGCAATTGAACAATGACTAGTTTTTTTAGAAAGCTATTTTTCAGCTATTCCATCTGGAAGATTTTTGAGGTGGGAGCTGTTTGTTAGCATTTAATGAGAAAACATGAGGGCTGGCACATAGACTTCTGCCAACTAGACTAAAAGCTGAAGATAGCACACTGTCCATAGTAACTCTCAGTCATTTCCTGCATTGGAGTAAGTAATTTTTCAGTGAAAGCACTGGGAAAGTTCTTTTGAGCTTTGAATTAGTGTCGACTCAAGCTCACACAGCTAGGAGCATCAGTAGGTACAGAGCACTCTTGCACTTAGCTCCACCCCTATAAAAACACCTTCCCAGAACTCTACTTTATCCAAATAACACGGTCATTTTTACAGGGGTCCAAATAGTTCTTTGGCTCCAAGATAAAATCTCCAAATTGCAAAGGCAGGTTTTAGACACAAAATACCTCCTTATATCTTCCTTAGAGCACTTTTTTCATTTTCAAAGCACTTTCCCACTTCTTGCCCCTACTGGTTCCTCAGAGATTGGCTGATTTGGTTATTCTCATTTGACAGATTTAAAAAAATGGAAATGCAAAGGTCTCAGGTTTGATTCCGGTCAAGGGCACATACCTCTACCTCTACCAATAAATGTGTTTCTCTCTCTCTCTCTCTCTGTCTGTTTCTCCCCCTCCCTTTCAGTCTCTCTAAAAATCAATGGACAAATATCCTCGGATGAGAATTAAAAAATAAATAAAATTAAAAACCCTGTTTTTAAAATAAATAAATAAATAAATAAATAAATAAATAAATAAAACCAGAAATTCACATAAATATTTATCTTTCATAATCCAGTGGATCCAGGATTCAATTTTATTTCACTCTTTGAAACAAATCTCAGCCTTACCTAGATTCCTTGCACAATCTTTGCACAGAGGATGGAATCCTACTGCCATGATTTTTCCTGCAGTGTGAAACTAAAACATTGTTCTGAACACAGTGTAAATATCTGTCATTTACCCAATTTTGAAAATACGTTTACCACAAGAATTGTAACAGTGACAACTCCCATCCTGTCACTGAACTCAGCTATTGTTCAAATTTGCACATTTCCCATATTGTCATCTCTTAGTTATCTGTGGAAACATGTTTTGGACCATAGCTGGCCTTCAATATGCTCTAGAGAAATTTCTTCCAGGCAGGTGATATGAGCTCTGGGAATACACACTAGTTTAATATTCACTTTAGCAAAAATACAATAGAGAAGGCAAAGTTAGCAGACAGAAAAAAATTGCAGTATGCATTTCAAAAATAAATATAAAGAGTTTTTTTAAAACTCTTTTCCCTTTGGAAAAAAAATGCCAACGTTCTGCTCTCTTGGTGCAGAGAATTGCAATATCACTATATTTTTATGAAAACAGGGTCAAAACAGACAAAAGCATGAGACTTATTTATGTTCAATAAGTCCTCTCTTCCTTAACATGATCACAAGCATGTAACAATCTGCATATAATGTTATACTTGAAACAAAAGAAAACAAGTTTGAAGTCATGGTTAGCTAAACCCTGATCATTTAAGACCCTTTTTATAAAAAATATCATTCCACAGCTGAAGGCTACTTCACTAGGGAGAAGAACTATTCCAGGTCAAATTACATACAAATATGCGTGTAGATATCATACAAAACTTTTCTTCATAATAAATGAAATTTAATTTCTTACTTAATCATCTCTGCAGCAATGCAGATAATTTTTTAAAATAAACAAGTATAAATTATTTTGATTGCAAATGGTACTGGTTTCCTCTAATTAGTACTGCAATATTAATTATCCTGATATAAAGCAACAGTGTGTTTGAAAAGTTCCCTGATTCATCTCAGTAGTTCAAAACATTTGTACTCTGCAATTTATGCTTTCTGGTTTACTGATGAATTTGTAAACGTTGGAGCTGTTTTAATTTGTTTAAGTCTAGGATTTAGAATTTCTTAAATGCATAGATTGAGTTATTAATAGAGGTTGATATTAGCATTTATGTTTTCAAACAGCTCACAACGAAGTGCTCTCATCATAAAAAACAGACTGTTTTAAAGAGTTGAATATCAGAGAAAGCATTTGAGGTTGAAAGTTTCAGTTGTAGGATCCTCAACATTGGTAGTATATGATATACTACCCTTGTACATGGAAATAGAGTCATTCTACAGGTATTTCTTGCTATGATACAGTGACTTTCAAATGTTTTCAAAGCCATCAGAACCCATTTTTCTAATGAAATCTTACTCAGAACTCTAGTTGATAAACAAAATAAAAGAAAACTGCTCAGATTAAAGACAAACTTCGGACTCAAAAGCCTAGCTGCCTATGTCCTTCTCTGCTTCTGCAACCCACAGACAACCCCAAGACACCAGGTGAAAGAAACATTAAGATTTTGCAGAGCATAGCGTAAAAACCACTGCAATGTTCCCTCTATCTCTATTCCACCTCTCCATGTCCTTCCCACTTGGCTCAGTTGGGAGTCCTGCCTTCAAACTTAGAGCAGCTCTGGTTACCCTAATACTTGGAAAACCCTCCCTTTTTTGAACTCCTGTAGTAAATAAGGTAGCACTTCATTATATACAATCATATTGTTTGTTAGCAATTTGGGAAAGTTCAAATTTGAGGGCTTATTATGTTCCAGGTCCTGTGGTTAAGAACTTTTTTTATATGCATTATCTTATTAATCATAAATTGAGCCCTATGAATAAGGGACTATTTTTAGGCTTATTGTACAGATGAAGAAACTGGTTCATAGAAAAAGTTAAGTAACCTGCCCAAGGTCATAGACCTATCAGGGAGGAGAGGAAACCCGACTTGGAGCCCAGAGCCATCTGACAGCAAGTCCAGGCTCTCAGATTGCTGTGTAATTCATGTTGTATCTCCCCAAGGGTATTATAAGCTTTGAGAAAATAATCCACCACAGCAGCAACACTCATATTAGTACCATTCACTAAATGATTGCTGATTTAATTATTTTACACATTTTATTGTACACATTTAATTATTGTGTCACAATAATTGACAAAAGTTTGACACAACTCCTCAACATTTTTTATTCTTTTCCCCAAGGTAAGACCACTCCATACAATGGTGGTTAAACAGAACTGGGACCAAAATTCTCTAAAAGCTTCTTAATGATCCATGAACACTTTTGGATTGCCGCTTTAGTGATTTGAATCTGATGAATATTTGGGGAATGTAGGATTTGACAGCTCTTTTATAAAACCAGCCTAAATTCAAACACCTCCCTGATACCCACAGAAGTAAAAATAATAAAAGATATATACCTCAGCACTCCAAGAACCTGTGTCTGTCTGGGATACTCGGTATGTATAAATGTAACCTTGATACCTGTGAAAGAATAAACTCCATTACTGAAAAATTCTAAAAGAACAAGTGGATGCTCTCAATTTGAGCTTTACTATTACATATAAATGTCACATATACTGGGACACACACATATGGAACCATGAATTCATAGGAACAAAAACCTGGGGAATCTAACTGGCTTGCATATTATATACAGCAGATCACAGTTTCCAGTAACCATTCTTTATCTTTTCCTTTTTAAAAAAATGTAGGAGCTCATACTCCTAAGATTTGTCTAGTTGAAAGTTTGGATAGAAACAAACTAGAGACCTGTGTTGCAACTGGTAAAAACCATGAATTATTAAATAGATTTAACTAAGTATAGCCTTATTATTTTTCAGTACATATCGAGCATTAAGGTGAAAACATTTCACTGGGATAAGGTACTACCAGGCCCACTTAAAATAATAGGAACAATAATATTAATTGTAAGTATAAGTGTAATACTATATTCCTAGATTACTATTACTATGTTACTTTATAATACAGTGTGTCCTAAAAAATGTTTAGCTCAATTTTGAAAATTAAATATATTTTAATAAACACTGCCTTTGTAATTATTCAAAGTGTGTGTATACATTTTGGGGGGATCCCCTATATATTATAAAATAGAGGTAACAGCAATTTGAATTAAAACGGAGTCCTGCTAAAGTACTACTTGAAAGCAGCTTGTCCTTTCAGATGGAATAAATATTCTCCCTCATTACTCAGTGTGTATGCAGATTGTATATCTATATATTTGATTTCTACCACATACCAAGAGTTTTATATGCTGTATTAGTTTGCTCAGGCTGCCATAGCAAAATACCATAGACTGGGTGGCTTAAACAAAAGAAATTTATTTTCTCACAGTTCTGGAGGCTGGAAGTCCAAGATCAAGGTACCAGCAACATAAGTTTCATTCTGAGGCCTCTTCTCTTGGCTTATAATCAGACACCTTCTTGCTGTGTGCTCACGTGACCTCTTCTTTTTATGCGTGCATGGAGAGAATGAATGATCTCCCTTTTTCTTTTTCTTCTTTTAAGGCAACCAATCTTATTGTATTAGGGCCTCACCATTATGACCTCATTTAACCTTAAATACATTCTAAATACCTATCTCCAAATACATCCACATTGGGGGTCAGGTTTCAACATATGAATTTGTGGGGGGACATGACTCAGTTCATAGCATTCTACCCCTGATGCCCCCAGTCATGTCCTTCTCATATGCAAAATACATTCATTCCATCACAATAGCCTCCAAAGTCTTAAATCATTCAAGCATCAACTCTAAAGTCTAAAGTCCAAAGTCTTATCTAAATATCATCTAATCAGATATAGGTGAGACTCTGAGTATGAGTCATCTTGAGGCAAAATTCCTCCCCAGCTATGAGCCTGTGGAACCAGATGAGTTGTTTGCTTCCAAAATACAAAGATGAGATGCTTAGTACAGATATCCCTATTTCAAAAGGGAGAAATAGGAAGGAAAAAAAGGGTGACAGGTCCTAAACAAGTCCAAAACCTCATAATGCCAATTCCATTAGATATTAATGCTTGAGAATAATCTTCTTTGGGTTGATACTCTGCCCTCCAGGCACACTGTGTGTCACTGTCACCCCCACAGCTCTGGGGGTAGCCTGGCCCACTCAGCAATGTTGGGTTCTGATTCCACTTTGAAACCTAGGTAGAAGCAGACTAGCCCTTCTGGGCCTGTGCACTCTGGGCCTATGGTGGGAGTGGTATCACTGATGATCTCTGAATCATCTTCAAGGCCATTCTTCCCTTTTCTTGAAAGATAAAGCATGTTTGCAGCCAAATTGTTCTGTTCTCCTGTCCTATTCCCTTTGGCCCAAATTGACAGTGTCTCTGAGACTTGGCTCCAAACTCTATTCTTGGCTTCTGCTGAAATGGCTAGTTAACATCATAGGTAATCTCCTTAAGGAGTGATTATCTGGCCACACCCTTGGTGTTCTCTCCAGAAGAAGTTTCCTCATTTTTTGCCATGTGGGTAAGCTAAGAATTTGCCAAATCTTTAAGTTCTGATTTCTTTTCGCTTATCAATGCTTTCTTGAATTCATCTCTCTCCCTTTGCATTTTACTATAAGCAGTCAGGAGGATCCCAGGCACTTCAACAACTTCACTTAGAAATTTCTCCTGCAAAAGATCCAATTTGCAAGTTCCACCTTCCACAAAACACCAGAACACAGTTCAGCTAAATTCTTTCCACTTATTACAAGGATATAAATTCTTTCCTCCAGTTTTCAATAACATGTTCCTTATTTCCATCTGAGACCTCACCAAGAACTTTCACATTTATAGCTCTACCAACATTGTGTTCACAGCAATGTAGGCTTCGCTTAGCATGCACCTCCAAACTCCTCTAGCCTCTACCAATTGTGCAGGTTCAAAGCCATTTCCACATTTTTAGGTATTTGTTACAGCAGCACTGTATTTCTTGGTACCAAAATCTGTATTAGTCTGCTTAGGCTGCCAGAGCAAAATGGCTTAAACACAAGAAATTTATTTTCTCAAAGTTCTGGAAGCTGGAAATCCAAGATCAAGGTGCCAGCAACATAGTTTTCATTCTAAGGCTCCTCTTGGTTTGTAGGCAGCCACCTTCTTGCCATGTGCTCACATGACTTCTTCTTTGTGTGCATGCATGGAGAAGAGTTCTCTTCTTTTTATAAGACCACCCATCCTCTTGGATCAGGGCCCCACCCTTATGACCTCATTTAACCTTAATTATCTTCTAAAGTCCCTATCTAATATAGTCACATTGGGAGTTCGGGCTTTAACATGTGAATTTGACAGGAACACGATTTAGTCCATAGTACATGCATTATCTCTTTTGGACCACACAACAATCTTATGAGCTTTCTGTTACGAAATTCATTTTGTAGATGAGAAAACTGAAACTTTGAGAAGTTAAGTAACCAAAGCCACACTAGAGATCGAGCAACAAAGAGCAATTTGAATCAAGCCTATTTAACTCTAGAGTCCCAGCTCTTGACCCCCACACGATAATAGATATAGATTATTTATTACATTTTAGTATATATAATAATGCTACTTAATTTGCCTAAAAATTTTTTACTTCTTATAAAAGTAAACTTTATGCTGAATATTTTCAAATTATGAATGTGAATCTGGATCAACAGAGTTTGATTAAAGATATTTCTGATTATTATTCTTAGCTACAAATTTGGGTCAATATTGGTCAGAATACATACTGAATTCAGATAAAAATAAATGTGTTTAAACTTAAAAGAACAGATGATTCTAAAGCATTCAAAACAGAGGGTCATCCTTGAGTAACTGACCTAATTTACCATTAACCCCCTTTAGAACTAAGTCTTTAAATATGTGGATTAAATTACTATATATTTAATCAATGTCCATCAGCATTGATTACCTTAAGAACAGAAAACACCCAAATACTCTAATCAGGTTCATTCAATTTGTAAAACAAAAAAACAAGACAAGAAAGATCAATTTAATTGCTGGTGTGATTATAGGAAATGTTTCATTTTTCTATGAAGGTTTATCAGAATATTTAGATCATATATAAAGTAGGTTAATATATGCATATGTGTAATATGTAAATATTAAATGTTACATTGTTAAAGTCCTTTGTTTTTTTAAGCAATTGAAATCTACCTCAAAGTCCATTGATTTCAGTAAGCACTCTACAGGGAACAAGGCAAGAGCTTTGATTTCCATTTTTCACCATGGGAACTCAAATGTAAAGCTTGAAATGATTTTCTTAAAGTCACACAAAATGGAGATAGAAGCAGGGAAATAGACCCTTAAATCTATTTTCCCTCTGGGAAGCGATTAACGGCAATAATTCGGTACCATTAAAGGTGACGTGGAAAGGTATTATTTAAAATCTCAGCAATAATGAAAGCAAAATTCCAAGTAACTGGTTTTCCACTTTCTAAAACAGTGGGTCTCTAAAAAATACAATGAATCTATTTCCCTACTATCACTCAGCTTCATCTAGTCAAAATAAATGAGTCTGTTTTGAAAATTGTTTCCTAACGAATCTGATCTTATCTCACTTTCAGTTAAGCAGCAGGAACCTGAGTACCACTTCAAAAGTCCTTACCTCCTTCAGTCTCTGAACAAGCCTGTGTCGGTGACACATAAAACTTCTGGTGATTAACCCATCTAATATTAACAATTTCCTATTCCCAACCCCTCAAATTTCTGAATGAGCAAAATTCTTTCACCCCTCAGATAAGCCAGCAGTTCATCTCTTCCCCTTTCAAGTCGCTGAAATAACTGACCAAGGAGGGATCCCCTATAGTCAGCTCTCACTGTCATATGTCAAGGATAGAAGAGATCTAAAACAGGGCGATTCAAGTTACATTCTCAGGGTAACATTATCGACATTACCTGGGATTTTGTTAGAAATGCTGAATCTCAGGACCTACCCCAGAACTGCTGAATCAGAATCTGCATTTTAACAAGATTTCCAGGATTTCTCTAAGAACCATAAAGTGACTAACATACAAAGGGAATACCCACACCTCATTGGGAATATTGATGGCAATTTCCCCAAAGTCAAGCTGGCTCCTTTAACTCACTCAGGAACTTCTGTGTCATTTCCCCCAAGATTCACTCAGTCTATGCATTAAGAATGAAACTTTATTTAAATATAAGCTGAAGCTTTTTTCAATTGTTTCAGTTCATTGAGCAGTGTTTCTGAAGCATTTACTCCCTCTTCCCCAATAAGATTTCATAGTTTTGTTTTCTGTAACTTTTATTATGAACAATAACTTTGTAATATAAAATTCAACTAAAATATTGAATATGGTTTTTTTCAAACTACACATACTCTCTCCCTGTCCACTGAAAAATCACTGCTCTAGAAAATAAATAGGCAAATTATAACAAGAGCTATCAAAGTGTGTGTATTTTTTATGTAATGACCTTGCTCATCTTCATACACTTCAGGAAATCAAAGACAAAAGCAATTTGACAAAGATTTTCATAATA